CCACCCACAAGCCTCTGTATGGGCCGCTTTCAGTAGTGAAGTGTGAACTCAGAGAGAGGGGAGGAAGACTGTAGAGAGGTCAGGGCAACATGAAGTGAGTTGGGCTGAAAGCTGGAGATCCCCTGGTACCCAGAGCTCAGACTCATACCTCGGAACCAGTGGGCCCAGGGCCCCCCACTCACACCCCCAGGAGAGGCATCTTACCGGTCCAGCTTGAGACAGGTGCCTTCCATTATTGGTCCTGGCTGGCTGAAGACCGATACAAGCCTGGCAAGCAGGAGCCCCCACTGTGAATTACAGGGCATAGAGGGATTGCTGCTCGGGATGGACAAACACAAGAAAAGGTACCCTCCTTAGCTACACTCCTTTCCTATAAGGTGTCCAAGTATTTATTCATTTTGGAAAATTCAAACCAAACTTGGCCAGTATTAATAGCAGCATTTATTGAGTAATACGTAGTAAAGAATGTTAGGGAGGCGGAGCCAAGATGGCAGTGTGAGTAGAGGAGTGGAAATCTCCTCCCAAAACCACATATATTTTTGAAAATACAACAAATACAACTATTCCTAAAAGAGAGACCAGAAGACACAGGACAACAGCCAGACCACATCCACACCTGCGAGAACCCAGCACCTTGCGAAGGGGGTAAGATCGCCCCTCACCCCAGCTTCTGGCAGAAGGAGAGGAGTCAGCAGGGAGGGAGAAGGAGCCCAGGACTGCTAAACACCCAGCCCAAGCCATCCGCACCAGAGCACAGACACAGTGCATGCGTGGGGTGCTGGAAACTAGGGAAAAAGGACAGTAAGGCCTGTGAGTGGGTCCCCGCAGCTGGCGTCCCAGGACAAAGAAAAGTGAGTGCTTTTTGAAAGTCTTAAAGGGACAGAGGCCCCACAGCTGGACAGAAGTGTCCTGGGACACTTAGCCCAGCAGCTGGGAATCCCAGGGAACTCCGGGCACCCCAACCCCCTGGGCAGCAGTGCAGCTCGGAGGCCCCTCATGGAGATAAACAGCCTCCTGGCCGTTTCCCCTCCATCGCGGCTCCACCATATTAGAGCAGCAGCCCAAGCCAGGCCATGCCCACAGCAAATGCAGAGCTAAATCATAGCGACCGGGCAAGAATCAGAAGCCCTGTCTGCACACAGCTGCCCAGCACAAGCTGCTAGAGGTCGCTATTCTCCAAGGAGAGGAAGGCCACAAACCAACAAGAAGGGACGTTCTCCCAGCCATCACTTGCGCCAGCTCTGCAAACTATCTCTATCACCATGAAAAGGCAGAAAACTTTGATACAGAGCAAAATCACAACCCCTGAGAAGGAGATAGACCTAACCAGTCTTCCTGAAAAAGAATTCAAAATAAAAATCATAAACATACTGATGGAGCTGCAGAGAAATATACAAGAGCTAAGGGATGATGTCCGGAGGGAGCTTACAGAAGTGAAACAATCTTTGGAAGGATTTATAAGCAGAATGGATAAGATGCAAGAGGCCATTGATGGAATAGAAACCAGAGAACAGGAACACATACAAGCTGACACAGAGAGAGATAAAAGGATCTCCAGGAATGAAACAATATTAAGAGAACTGTGTGAC